ATATATGTGATAATGTATGCATGAACTACGTGGATTGTAAAAGTAGAAATAAAAATGTTAAGCAAGGTAATAGGGTATGAATTGGAAGTTAGGAAATAGTCTGGAGTTCAAACACATTTTAGATAAAATTTGGGTAGAAAATATTTTAGACACTGCTTAGTATTTGGACCATAACGTTTTACCCTGATGTCCATTGAGCTGATATTTTTATAGCAGATAGTAAACTTATAGGGCTACAAAAGTGTATTTCACAAAAATTTTCCAAATCGACCTCTAAATAGGCCAAAACTCCACTGGAAGTTTCAATAGAAATAGGAAGTACATTCGAATGACCTATGTTCGAACGTGAAAGTCCGTTCGAACAACAGTGTGTTTCAATACTTTGTCTCTAATGGAAAAACAAAAGTACAAGGAGCAAGTGACGTTCGAACGCCAAGTGACGTTCGAACGCCAAATGACGTTCGAACATGAGATACGAAATTTGGGTTTTAGAATCGCGCACAGGAGACCACTTCTCACCCTATAAATACATAAGGGCACCTCCTTTGGCCTCCATACACCATTTACAACCCTAGAAAGCTTTGAGAAACAAGAAAGAAGGGTATAAAACATACGATCAAGAGGGATTTGAACCATGAAGTAGATCAAAATCTCAAGTTTTTCAATAACACTAAGGAAGAATTTCCACTCCTGTTCATTGATACTAGGGCTTATATATACATATGTTTTAACTCTTAATCATATATATTTGTTATGAAATCCTTGATTCTTGATATTCTTGCAACTATTACCCTATTTTGAGTGAAGTTATGGTTGATGGCCATAAAACCCTTGTTCTTGATGTCAAAACCTAGTTTTTGAGAAAGATGAAATATTCTTCTTGATATTCTTGTGCTCTTGATTCAAAAAATTTAGTGCATTATTTTGAACAATAAAATTATGTCTTTTGATGATCTCTTGCTTATTTTCTTGAGAAATTATTTTGGTAAAATACCTATGAAATTGGGGATTTTTGAAATTACTTGTGATTTGAGAAATACCTATGGAATTGGGGGTTTTGATTTACTGGTGATTTGAGAAATTGGTTGGTATTGTATCTCCTGCATCTTGTATGGTTTGTTGTGATGGACTTGAATTGCATCCGAGAACTGCCGAAGAATGTTAGAGGTTAGTCTATCCCAGTGAGGGTGAGATGGTTGTCTAACACTTGTAGTAGATTGTTATTTGTGAGAGTAACCACTACTGTTCACGTAAGTTCGAGGCTGAGAGATGGTATACCTTTCCTTGGAAGGATTCTTCAATGTCATGGGAGACGGTATACGCTCTTCCTAAAATGGTTTGTGTGGATATGATGGGTGAACGAGATAGATTCGTTATGTAAATTCATGGGAAGCAACCAACATACATGAGAATATGGGTTGATACTATTGAATGATTAATTGATTTCTTCACATGTTTATTCCTTTCATTTAACTTATTACTATTGTATTAACTTGAGATCGAATAAATTGACACTATTTTATTTCAAGTTATATATGATATTTTGGAAAGTGAGACCGAACTGTTTTATATGTTTATAAATCTTGTTCAAGTTTGGGAGGATGCTTCTATAGAGTTTAGTGCTCACCCCCCTACAAATACTACTTATTCTTAGATGTCATTTTAGATGAAGAGCTCGAAATTAATGAGCAAGTATCTTGAAAAGCGCAATTGGATGGAAGCGTGGATTTCGAGGGGGATGTCTAGAGTTGATCTCTCCATGCCCTAGACTAGGAGATGCATTTTGATACAATGGATAAATGTTATTTTGTTTATTCCGCTGTAAGATTAAGTTTGATTTTGAGATGTAATTATCATAGTTTGAGATATTCTTTTTGGATGTAGATGTCATGGTTTGGCATATTCGTTTGGATAATGTTGTAGATATTATGTATGATGAATGAAATTTGCCTTATTTATGGAATTTATTAGTTGCTCTCATTATGTGAATGGTTTTAAATAGTAATGTCGTCCAAGGTAGATTTTGGAGCATTACAAAACAATTATCAACCCAATTTAAATTCAAACAATAATCAATTTATGTCTCTACTTTTTTGGATCCAACCCAATTGAAATCAAATTTACGCCCTAGTTGCATAACTTGAGATTCAAACTTGAATTAAATTTGATTTCAACTCGAATTTCTATCCATGTTATCTACCTCAAAATCAAACGTCAATTGAAGTCGATTTTGATTCAAATTTCACCCCTACTTGCATATCATCCAATTTCAAAATTTAACCATGAATGACACTCCAGTTGAAAATTTCAAATTAAGCTCAGTTTGAGAGTTTTAAAAATTTTGATTTAACTTGAATTGATTTTAACTTGTCTTACACCACTATATTAGCTAGGTTGTGGCATGAATATTGATAGTTAAATTAAATAAATATGTGATTTTACTATTTGGATGTATTAAGAGTGTTTCAGAATTTTGTTAACAAGCTTAATTAAGGTGTAGTTTAGTCTAGAAATAACAAGTGCATTATGTTTTTTTTATGTTTTTGTAGGTTTGGAAGTGATGTGAGAAATAGCATATCGATATGGTATAATGTGAAATTGCCAAACGATATAAAATAACCCACTAGACAACACCAATTTGGTGACTTAAACTAAATTATTTGTAGTGATTAATTAATTTAGTTACTAAAAATATGAAAGTTTTAGTGGCGACTTGACAATCATCACTAAAAGTGTATAAGTTTTAATAACAACACCAATGTTGTCACTAAAACTATAAAAGTTCTAGTGATGACATAAAAGTCACCACTAAAGCCATTAGTATTGTAGTGATGACATCAAAGTCATCACCAAAACCTTAAAACTTTTAGATGTGGCTAATCTCATTATTAAAAGTAATTTTTTTTATTTTGAGCGATGAAAATAAAATTCATCACCATTTATCCAATTTCTCATACTTTTAATGACGAAGTTACGATGAGGAAAAATTATTCATCACTAAAAGTTAATGTTTTTGTGACAAATAGTGTTGTCGCCACTCATCCTGGACCATTAGTGACAAAGTCACATGTCATCGCTAAAAAAATATCATTGATGACAAAAATAACTTGGTCACTAAAGCCCATAATTGTTGTAGTGAAAATTGATTATGCGCAATCAAATCAGTCAAGTGTGTGGTGCAAGACAATTAATGAAATAATTAATAATAAGAGACAAAAATTGGGTGGTTGGGTTTGGGTGACCTAACCATTGAAGGTGGCAATAGTAGCCGAAGAACTCTATTAATGGGAGAGTATAAATTAGTAGGGGAGAGAGAGAGAGAGAGAGAGTAAAAGTATGTTCAAGGTGTCGTCTGTGTCCCCTATATAAGGGGTTGACAATTATAGACACAAAACCCTAACAGTGGCAGTGACGTGAAAACAAAGCAACTAATTTACTGGGGAGGATAATTATAACTAGGGATAAAAACTATCTCAGAGTAATGAATATCCCGATTATTGCTCTCCCACATGGGTTGACTCTTCATGGACTCTTGAGTTTTAGACTGGACTGAGGCCATGAGCTAAACTTGGATGATTTAAGCTTAATCCATGTATCAGGCCCAAGCCCAATTGGATCTAGGCTCGTCAAGTATAATGCATTGAGAGATGAACATAATGTCATTCCATATGCCCAGTTAGGAGGGAGATAGAAGAAATAGATCACAATTTTCAAACTTACGTTTTGTGGTTTCAATTTGATCTTGTATTGTACACTACTACATCAACAAGCTTTTGATCCAATAATACTTATTACCTTTTGAAGGTTTTATTTTCTGAAGGTTAAGGGTTACTTCTGCAAGTAACTACATATATATATATATATATATATATATATAAGTATTTGTACTACTTGTTGGGATTTTAGTTAAGTGATTATGTCTTACTATGACATGTACTTGGTAGAATGTTGAACAATGGGATATATTAGTATATTTAATGTGTCATTGTACTATTTTCCTTTGTGTCTTATTTAGGAAGGAATATATTAACATAAAAAATTTTGATTTGTTTTTTAGCAAGGAATTAATATAAAGCTACTGAAATGACAAAACTTGATCGAAGTATGTTTTTTGTTTTAGTTTTCAGAAATTTTTAAACAAAAATTACAACCAAATAAGTTTTCTGTTTTAACTTTTTACCCAAAAAAAGACAACACTAACTAAGAAAACACTTAACAAAAAGAAAAACAATAGATAAATGTTATTAATACTTGTTGGATTAAAAGTAGGCATCATCCAACTTTAAATCTCACAGCTAATTTAATTGCTAAATAAGTTCTTGAATCAAATTCCTAAAATAGATCCACTCAAAACCATGAACTAATTAAGAAACATACATCATGTAAATGGTTTTTTTTTTAATGCTTCTGCATTTGTTTTTTTTTTGGGACGAAAGGTGCGCATTTTTAAGGGCGCATTTATCCACTATATTATGGGCCCTTAACATTATTTTCTATAGTATTCTCTCAACTATCAAGTCTTTTACATTGCACCCTAAACCATTTGATTAATTTCACTTTATCTCAATTATTAACATCTGTCACGTAGTTAACAGAAAGTAATTTTATTTTGCTCTCAAACTATGTAATGTTTCCTACTTTGTTTTGATACGTTGACATTTTTCGTCCAAAAAATATCAGACAGCAGCAATTGAAGCAATGTGAAATAATTCAGGTAGTTAAGTGAACAATGTAAGTAATTCAATAATTCAAGGGGCAAAATAAAATTGAGTTCATAGTCTAGTGGTGAAACTATAATTTATTCATATATACGATACAGATACTTAGACACAGAATGAAGACACCAAAAAAAATAACACAAACAGAAACTCTTCTTTGAAAGTTAGCACTTACAGTTGCTTTACAAACTCATGTAAGAGACCACCAAACACCACCCAACTCGTAAACTTCCCACACAGAGCAAAACAAATAAATAAAACACACACTTGAACGAAGTTCACCACCGGTAGATACCAGATATGGTGGTGGCGGCGGCGGCGGCGGTGGCTGCCCTCCCCCACCACTGAATTCTTCAACGCCGCCTGTTGAGCGGTTCCCTCTGAGCGTTAAAATAAACGGTGGCCACCGGCAAGCCCAGGTCGAGATGATGGGCGAATCCGCGGGTATTAAAGTTGGCCCGCGATGCGGGCTGATCAAAAAGGCCAAGAGGAGCCTTCTGTTGAAAGAGGACGAAGATGTATCGGTGAATCCCCACCGGCGGCCTTGGGCCCATGTACGGCAGCCCTTCTTTGCCTGCAAGAAGCTATTTCACTCAAAATAAATAAATAAACTAAGCCCTAATACTAAGGCCTAATACACCATCTGTCTTTCCATTTTTTCCTGCATTGTTTTAGTATAATATATTGACCAGCCCAGATTTGATTGAGTTAGGTCCAATTAATTAAGTAAACTCAAATTAATTACAAGAAAGGTCAAACACAGTTTATAAATTTGGTCAGACCAAAGTTCAAGGGATCGGAGAATATAGAAGCACGCGAAAAATAATTATTGAGATAATATTCTCGAAGATTAAGACTATCTCTGATTGTATTTACTCTAGTTGTACTTATCCACCTTGAAGAACTAGTGACTTATCAATCACGTCACCGCCTCAACCAATGCTATGTGCATATAAATTGTAAATTCTTTTTACATGAGAATAATATCTCTCTACACACCTTTTATACAACTATCTCTCTGATAACTATTCAACATATCCTAGAGTTTACCCTTGCTCTCTCCCTCACCATCTCCTTTATTAATAAAATTCTTCGGCTATCGTCGCTTCTTTTGGAATGGAGTAAATCATATTGATCGAACCACTATACATTTATGTGTTACTTGTGTTGATTCAATCTTAACCTCTTGTTATTAGTTACTTTATTGATTATTCTATATTATACACATAACTGTTAATTGTATATAATTCTATTTTGTGTATCATCATATACTACTATAGTAATAAATAAAAATGAGAAAAAAGAGGTTCATTTCGCTGGAATATTTTATAATATCCCTCGTTTCTACTGTTTTGACAATCAGTAACTCCGCCCAAATTATACAAAACCACATGTAGTTACACGTGTAAGTAATAAAAGTTTCTCTCTTTTGATCTCTTTTTTTTTTTTACATCTCTTTTATGTTTTCTACATGTTTTCATCTTACTATTTTAACATGCATACGATAACCATGGGAAGAAATATTAAAAACTAGTGATATCGAATTCTAATATTGGAAAGTCTGATATCATTACACTCCGATTTAACTCCATCTTACACTTTGGGAACGTTAAACGGCATCTCAAATAGCTGCAGGGAAATGATTTGGAGTGAGCCAAGTGTCACCCTATATAAATGGCACGTGATCATTCCTGGTAATGCCAAGTGTAAGGGAGAAATGGCACAGACCATGACAAGTGGCAAGACTGTGTCACGGCCGACTTTTTTTTTTTTTTTTTCCGTAACTATGACTTTGGGTAACAAGTGAAATGCGCCCAAAGTTTAACAGTCACACCAATATTACATTGATTAAATTTTAGGATTAAAGTTAATATTTAAATGACATAACAATTGACTTAAACCCTAATAGTTAGTATGACTTTGGATAATGTTATTTAAACCCTAATAAAAATTTTAAATAATATATTATCATATCATTTGAACTCTAAATTTAATTTTAAAATTTGATCATTATAACATTATTTAACAGTCGATACATGTAAGGGAGGGGTAAGCCAGATGTCACCAACAGAGGTGGGAGGAGTAGACTAAACGGATCACTAAAATCTGCAAATAGGGCCTTCATGTACGACACGTGTCCTGTACAAGCGAAGGCCACTACGACAGTTGCACCAGTGCGACACGTGTCCTGTATAAGCGAAGGCCACTACGACAGTTACACCATGGCACAGTGTCCCGTTCCCGTGAACTGATGCGCTGCACAGCATGCAGCTGCTTGGAAATCTTAGGGTTGATGTTTTAGGGTTTGATAGCTATTCCTGTGATATATTTGTTAAGGGTTCGAATTGTAAAAATTACTTTTTTTTCATGCTTAATTGTTTATTCTGTCTGTAGATTTCGTAGTAACAGGAGCCTACCATGAAAACAGAATAGGTATACGCAGAAGTTTTAAAGATTGACGGATAAAGTACCTCCTAGGTATGATAGGAAATTTAGGAACACTCTCTCAAAATTAGATATAAGTTTCATAATACAAAGATGCTGGTCAACTCGCCTTGCATGCATGCATGCACGCAACCAGGAGGAGGAGGAGCGTGGGGTGGAGGGAGGAGAGGGGGGGGGGGGGGGAGAGGGAGAGAGGGGCAGCGACGGATGGATAAAACAAATCGTCACAATTATAAGCAGTGTCTTTCGATTTTCACAAAATTTCCTGAATTGGGTATATTTAAAGGAAAAATCTGTATGTATCTTGACTATATTTGGAGAACAAAGCAGTATTTTACCATGAGTAGGAGTGCCGCCACCTGGTATATCTGTCACAATCCTGAGATTTTCACATGAAAAAAATAAGCCAATTCAGTTTGTGTGGACACACATGGACGAACAAAAATATATAAGATAATTATTCTTGGAAACGAGACTAACCACTGAACATACTCTCTCATTGAGGGCTCACTTGGGCTTGGTGCATCAGGATCTGTCATCACCTACAACACCCACAAAAACAAAACCAAAAAAATAAAAAAGGAAAAATCTTCTAAACAATAGGACATGCATTTGCAGGCGAATTAATATACAGAAAACAAAAAAAAAAAAACTCTCAACCCAACCACAATTTTATTTTTCAGCAAGAGTTGTCCATTTTAAAGCAAAAAAATGATCATGAAGGAACTGAACCAGAGTATAAAGTTCATTGGGGTGGCCGTTGATGGTGACCCTGGGAGGCTCAGCTGCCATGGAGGGTTTGATTTCACAGCCGTTGGCTATATGTTTTGAGCCGTAGCGAACTGACATGGTCACCGTGGGGACAAACATGTCCACCACGTCGCCGATGACCCGACCAACAACCAAAGGATCAACAATGGAAGCCATGAGAACAAATAAGGAGATTGGTAGGGAAGAGAGTTGTGGGAAGGTAAGAGAAATAAAGAGGGTGGGTAATGGCATGAGAAGAGAGCTAGCTAGGCATTTTATAGATGAGTAAAAGTGTACAGGAGCTTGCAGATTTGTGTAACATATCGAGCATGCACAGGCTAATCAAAAGAGTAGAAGACGGCAGAGTTCAACACGTGGGATTTTGATTCTATGGATTTTCAATTTTACAAATTTTCATCTATATGTTAACATTGACACTATTGGCACCTAATAATCAACTGTAATGTACTGATTTTGAGATAAATCAATTCGCATGTTTTCAAAGAAAAGTCTGACACATAATAGTACAATATTATCGAATCATATTCACTGAAATACTATTTAAGCCAAGGTATCTTTTTTCATTTAGTACTGTTGGATTCACATAGCTCAGTTGATTGGAACTGATGATGAATAAATCTATTGAATTAAAATTAAAAAAAATTTAAAGCTGAGAGATCTCGCCCAAGACAAACATATGATTTTCTTATTTGGTCATCTATAATTTCATTGATGATGAGATTGTATCAATGCATTGTTGAAATCTTATTATAATTCAAAGGAATTAATAAATTTCATTAAGAATAATCAAGTTAAATATAATTTAATTGAAAAGTCATAGTCCAACATACAAAGATTTTATTGGTAATGCTGAAGTGTACTCAACCATACTTTCTAAGGAATAGATGCTACGTTGTTAATCTCAAATGCATAAAAATACTTAAAGTATTGAGCATCAGTTACATCAACCCGTGAGCCTATTGGGCGGATTTGTTGGACGGGCCTGCTTGCGGACTTTTTTATATACATATTTATTTAAAATAATTAATATTTTTATAACTTAACATTTATATAAATTATATTTTTGAATCAAAAATAAAGTCAAAATGAATTAAAATAAAATAATGAACTACATCCAATAGAATGAATAAATCTCAACTAGGTTGACAGTGACATTTACTAACTTATCAGTCGTTTGCATTACTCTATCATTTAAAACTTATATGTTTAATATATGGAAAAAAAATAATTCATTATTTATAATATCTAAATTTTTAAAACTTCAAATTTTGATATTGGGAGACTTGTTTCAAAGTTTTAAATTTAATGGTCTAAAAATATAACTTTATTTCAAAGAGTGGGTGGGTGGGTTGGGCTTGAGGGCGGGCTTGATGGGCAGGCTCTTGGGCCAGACTTCAGGACGGGTAATGAGTTTGGGGATAAACTCAAGCCCTCCTTTTAAAAATATTGGGCTAGGGCTCGGGTGGACCAACTATCGGGCTTCAGGCCTATTTTTTTCGGGCTGAGTAACAAGACCCATGGGTAACCTGGCCTATGGACACCCCTACTGAAGGGACCATATAACAATCATGTGACAAATGCTTGGAGAATTCTTATCCACCTAATTTCTCGTTATGTTTAGTATGATCAACTTTTTTTTTTAATGTTATTTAAACTTAAAAATTTGACCTAATTTATTGGTATAATGATGTAATTTTATGGGACTTATTTGATTAACATCAAGTTCCAATATTTGATGGAGCCTACAATTAATTCAAAAGTAATGGTGAATTAGGTCAGCAAATTAGTTTAATAAATTAGGTCCCAATAACATTGTTCTTTTTTTTTTTGAAAAAAAAAAATCACAATGGAATGAACATGGTAATTCAGTGAACTTAAAAATAAAGTAAAATGTATATTATCATTTTAATGTCTAGCAATAACTAAAATTCAGTGGTGAAAATATAATGGACAATTCATTTCAATGTTTACACAAATCAAATTTTTACTCAAAATAAAATTTACTTTAATTGAGGTAAAATAATGATAACTATTTCAAATATCCAAACTCCAGGATTTGAGACCCTTGACCTTATATTCCAAATTTGGACACTTGACCTTGGATTCGGATTTAGGACCCCGAACCCAATCCTAGATCCAATGCTCATATTCAGGACTCTAAGACCCAAGACACGAGACCCATAAGAAGACGCGAAATCTAGACTCAAAATTCGTATCCATAATTTGAGACCTCAAACTTAGACTCAAACGTAGGAATTGGCAGTTGAGATGGAGGTGGTGGTCATGCTGGTGGCGAAGGGTGAAGGTGACGATGATGGTGGTTGGGGACAAAGATGATGTTGGTGGCGATTGATGGCGTTTAGTAATAGACAACATCAACTCATTTAAGAATGTGGTGACATACTTTGCATATTGATTTTCGATGCACTTTTGCAGCTTCATTGTTTGGGGATGGTGGCTACATTTAGATATCACCTAGTGATTCGTGCGTAAAGTTAATAAATTTTACTATGCCTTTTTGGACTAATTGTGCTTTGATGGAGTTTAAACAGTGACATTTCAGGTCCTAAAGTGAACAAAGGCTCAAGAACAACAAAAATCACTCTTGAATGTAACACCAGCACAAAAAGGAGCAAAAATGCAAAATGATGGAACAAAGTAAGGACGTTCGAACGTCAACCCACGTTCGAACGTCATCTGAAATGTGACACCCCAAAATCCGGGGGTCCGTTGATTACCCATCAACCCGCGGAATACCCGTAAATACCGAGTAACTCAATATCACACCGTTATGTCCCATTTACCGAGGTCCATAACTTAACAAAATTTGGGCAGAGTCTCCTTTGTGCAGGGAACTCTACCCAATACCCAACCTGTGCAACATAACTCACATGACCCATCTGAGGCCCAATAAACAATGACCGCACCGGGTCCATTTATAAGTAAACATTGACCACACCGGGTCCAATTATCCATATTTATAGCAAAACATGCAAGGTTACTTTAACATTAGTGCATATATATAATAGTTATCATTTAAATCCACCAAGGTCTAATAAGCCTCAATATACCTCAATTAGTGTCCATTTGTATCCTTGGAACTAGAGAAATCCAAGTCCATTGGTGTTCTTTAAATCAAAGAAATCCAAGCCTGGAAGCTTAGTGCATAGTTTGAAAAATTTCGGTTTTAGAGTCACCGTTCGAACATCACTATTCACATTCGAACGTCCCTTGGTTTTGAAAAATAGGTAGCTCCCAGTACATTTGGTTCTCTGATGGTTTTGCTGTTCAAAACTCGCACCATTCGAACGTCACTTTACGTTCGAACAGAAAATGCAGTTTCTGTTCTGCTGCAACTTCCAGTGAGGTTTTGACCTGTTTAAAAGTGGAATTGAGAAAATTTCATAAAAACACTTTTGTAGCCCTAGGTGTCTACTACCTACTGTAAAAATTTCAGATCATTTGGACGTCACAATAAAAAGTTATGGCTCAAACACTAAGCAGTGTCTGAAATTTCTGTGTAAACTGTGTATGATTTCAACCCCAAATCAATCCATTCCAAAACCAATCCAAACCAATCCAAGGTTATCCAAAACTTATACAACATCTATTTGATACCAAATATAGTCAATACAAGTTCTAATACAACTATTTCCATACTTTTACATGCCAAAAATGGAAATTAACCAAAAGTTTTACAAAAACTAAATTCAAAAGCCACAACCCGGCTTTTCTTCAACCAAGAGCCCCTAATGAGAGCCATCCACCGGAACGTGTCCCGTACCTGAAATTGTTTCCCGTATAGGGTGAGCACAACGCCCAATAGAGATAAACCTATAGAGGTTACTCTTCCCCTAGATGCACATGCTCATGTAATCATCACACAAACACACAACCAAGCATTTCTCACACTTATGCATCCTATGATGGAATGCAACAATGCTATGCCATGGAATGAAGTGACACTCACCCATGCAACTTTATTCCGAGCTCTCTCCGGCTCCCCAACACATGCAAGTGTCAATTTAGTCGAAAACACCATTTATGTTACACACAATGGCGTTAATCACTCTAGGGTCTTGTATAGGGGTGGATGTTCATGGACTTACACCAAGGGCCTCCAACCCACACAAAATTTACGGACTTCGACCGAGGGTTCCGAATACACCCACACACTTTATGGGCCGAGCCAAGGGAGTGCGTAGCCCAATCACCGGGTCTTGCACCCGAGAGGTCGTCATGCCTCTTCTTGCTACCCCAACCCAATTCATCATGCAACCAAGCGGCTTAGCTAAGTCCTCGACCCAACTCTCCCAAGCCTTCCGTCAATCACCAAGTGTGGTATTGACGTCAAACATGCACTCACTCATGTAATGAGACACTTCCGTGCAAATGCAATGTGATGTTCCATTGCACACAAAATAATGCTCAATATGCTTATGACAAACATATAAACATTTTCATACATCAATGCAATTGTATCATAAGTATATAACTACCATATCTCATTATGCTCAATATATCATTTCATGCATATGTCAATAACACTCTTCATCCAAAAACCATATCCTAAGCATATGATTTCACAATCACCCAAGCATGTTATAACATAGCATCATGCAAGTAACACCCTCAATTTCACTAGGGCATTTTATCAAACATCTTATAGTCATTCAAGTCATGTATTCACATAACACATTCCAAGGCATAGTTTATAAAACACATAGCATGCCTTAAGTTTTCACCAAGTTACAAAATAATCACATGGAACCTCCATATACCAAATTCAAGCTAGAAGCTAGCCTAAGCTATTCCTATGCTAATTTTTTTCACTTTCATACCCATAGACATATATGTATAACAATACATATGCATATACATAATTTTCACCCTTAGTCTAGCAACACCTAAGGTAAGAATAATCCAAAGTAGGAATAACCCCTACCTCTTAGGAGTGTAGAAAACCCCTAAAACACCAAAACCAACCCAAAAGCTTTGATCTCCAAAAATTCTTCCTTTGATTATTCGGTGAAATCACTTCCTTTTGGTACGTAGACGTAGCCCTTGACGAGGAGAACGATCTTTGTTCTTGGTCCAAGCGGATTTGAGCACTAGAATTATGTAGATCATAGAGAGAAGTTGAAGCTTTCCCTCTC